TGCGGTGTGAAAAGGGCTATTCGCGAGCCGTGGTTCTCTCGCACTTCTCCCGACTGGATAAGAAGCTCAGCTCTGGCAGTACTGTTCGATTTCAGCAGGATGAGAGAGCTTCTGTGGAACTGTTACATATTGAAATTTGATTTATTTACTTTTATGGCACTGAATTGCTTAATAGGGAATTCAGCTGATTTAGAAAAAAATCTGCATAATTAAACGTTTGAGATGTAAACAAATTAATTCAGGGTGATTTGATGTGAGATGCACTGTTCTGGAGAAACTTGCAGAGTCAGAATTGTCACAGTGGTAATGATAGGAACCAGACAGCTGAAGAGTTTTTTAATGAAGGTTTTGAGAAGGTTTTTTTCTACAGTGTATTTTTTTTTAAATCCATTCATAACAGAGAGGTACATGCAGGGTGCTGTCAGGCAAAGTAGTCCCCAAAGAAAACTCAGAAGATATTTGTAGGTTCACTTGTTGTTTTGGATAGCAAAAAAATTTCAATGTATCACCTGAAACCACTCTGAATGACTTTGTTTGCATCTCAGCCATTCAATTATGGAGAAAATTGGAAAAATCTGTGGAATTCCCCTTTAAGTACCTAAGTTGTCGGAAATATCAGTGTCAGTGCACCAATAAGCATGCTTCTTTCAAATACTAGACTGGTGATTGGCTGACTAATTTCAGATTGTAAGAATACGGGAAAACACTGTATAAAAGCGGTGGCTTAATTTTATCAGAACTAGTAACATTGCTATGTATGTGCAAAGGCTAGCACTTCAAATACTGGCAGAAGCATGAATTTATTGAAGTATTAGATTGTGCACAGGATAAATTTAACAGCTGAAAGCTGCACTATGTTTGACTTTAAGACCAGCAGACCATAGCCAGCTGAGTCCTAGTGTCAGAAAAAAACATCACGGTGGAATCAATATTGAAATATTGGTATTGGTATTAAAACATTTTGATTAACAATACCTTGCCTTACTCTGAGGACCTGTTCATTATAGGTGTTAACTTCTATCTAGTGATCTGATTACAAGTGAACAAAGAGACATTTTACTGGCGCTGTATGTCTCGATTGCACCTTACCACATGTGATCAGATTTTGTGAGTGGAGGAAACTTATTGTATTTACATTCACTATGTAAATTTGCATACATTTACTGAGTTTTGCTGCATTTGTTGTCAGAAATATCCTGCAAGTCCATGTTTGTGTACTCGATGTTTAGGTTACATGGATCACTAACTTCATCTCTATCAGGTTTAAGGGTTGACATTGCCTATCACTTGGTACCCCAAGATATTTGATTCTCCATGCATTTTGAGCACAAACTGATTTAGTAATTTAAAACCTTTAATGAAATCACATTAACAGTAGTAAATCAATATCTTATTGTAATAAGATATTTAAGTTTCACTTCTTGCTTTGAAACACATACATAAGTATGCTCCTGCAGCACTGCTTTGTCTGATCCACTCGTACCAGCACAACACACACTAACACACCACCACCACGCCAGTGATTTCAGTGCTTGGATCACAGTATCTAACATGCAGCCCCCCCACTTACCTAACACTAACACATCTGACCCAACCAATCAAGTACTTCTAAAGATGTTAATTAGCTGGAGCAGGTTTGGCAGATTGTGGTAGGGACTAAATTTCACAACAAGGTACATCTCCAGGACCAAGGTTGGTGACCACTGACCCAAGACATACATTAATGCCAGGTGTGAACGGGGCCTGTTTTAGATGCCACATGCAGGTGTGCCGAGCGCTGTGTGTCCTTCCCTTGGCACAGTAAGGTGGTGTGAGAAAGTGTAAGAGAGAGATTTCTGCTGGTGTGTGTAATTCCCGTATCTGCCGCCCCAGGAGAGTGTGGAGATTCCAGCCAAGAGCTGCTGGCTCCGAGCTGTTCGTGTGATGGCCGCATGTGTGTGGAAACACAGATTGGCCTCTATCCCTCTGGGAGAGAGTTCTCCATCCCTCACCCCCTCACCCCCTCGCACCCGTCCACCCCCTCGCACCCATCCACCCCCTCCACACATGCACTCCAAGCTCCAGGTGCTGAGGTACTCCTCCCCCTTCAGGAGATGCACACGTAGTCTCTGCAGTGTTCTGCAGTCATGGCAATAGCCCTCTCAGCACATCCATGATCAAAGAGCCTATGTTTAAAGCACAATAAGACCCCCGCTAATAATCTACAATTACCCTCAGACGCATGTGAGTGGCAATCAGCGTCATTCGAGAATTACGAAGACAACTAGACAAAAAGACACTTCAGCTGGGTCTCTATTCAGCAGAGTGTAATTATGATACAGGCCATTCGCCATAGCGCCACTACCTGATGTTAACAAATATTTCCCCGATGAGAAGCGGCGAGCGCAAAACAAAGCATTGTTTTGTTCATTGTTAGTTCTGACATGGCGCTGTCTTTTGCTTTGTGCTTGGCGGACGAAGAGGAAAGTGAAAATCATCAAAGCCAGGAGGCTTTCCATCAGCGCTGTACAGTTAAGCTCCAGGCGGCTCTCTGCTGAGGAGTTGGATTGGCTGCTGGGGGGGAGAAAAATAAATAAAAAAGTGCAGGACTGTCAGGAAGGAGAAGCGTTTTAGAGTTTAGAGAAGGCCTTATTTATCTGCTCGCCTCAGACTGGGGCTGCGCTTCAAACACAGCTTTAGCAGCCATGGACGACTCAGGGAAGCGAGTCGAGCGAGCACATGTAACTCTAGCAATTATGGCAGACTTAAAGGCAGAATAATGAGTGAGTCTTTAAAGTAAAAACATGGTCCATTCTCTTTTCTTTCCATTCCTTTATTGTATCTTTTTGTTTGTTTTGTTTTTACAAACTCCAGCTAGTTACAGAGGCGTTATTCATTATTAAGGGCCCAGATCATGGAAACAGAAATTTCCCAGTTTGCTGTAATATGTCAGCATTGTAAAATTTTCAAAATGCAAACATTGTTAAAGCTGCACAGTGTAATTTTTTTGTTAAAATTGAAAGAAGCAGCATTGCTGAATCAGGAACAACATCCCTGCTAAAATATGGTGCGTTTGCGCTGCTGCGAGTGACTCTATAAATCCTGAAATAATCATTTTAAAGTCAGAGTTGTCGGGCTGGATTCTGGAGTTTTTTGGACCACGTCATACATCTTTACATATTAATGTCACACACACAGACATGAAAAGACGGTCCAGCTTGATGTTTAGGTCTCAAATGCAAAATAAACATTATACTGTTGAAGATGTGACAGATAGTAGATAATTCACTTACATCCTTGGTATCGATGCATGCCTAATATTTATTTATCCACCTATTGAGCCGACAGCAGTTTAGCTCTGCCTATTCTTGTTGAAGCTATAAGGGGGTCTTTCACCAAGTTTTGACTGAGTTCTGTTTAAATGCTCTTTCAACACACTCACAGTCAAAAGATTCATCTGCTCTGGAAAAGGGTCCAAAGTTACAAAATGGTCTTGCATGCAATTTCCACCAGAGAGATCTCCAAATCTTCCATAGCATAGCTTTTAATGCTGAAATGTCTTTTTGTAACTTCCTAGTCCCGGGGTCAGCAACCCAAATGTTAAGAAGAGCCATTTTGTCCTTTCAACAAAAATCAATTTGGCTTGGGAGCCACAACATTTCAGTAACGTTTTACCATTGTGGCTGTAAGTATGTCTCAGTATGTGCGAATGTCCTAGTGTAGGCTAAAAATATAATATAAACAAACACAGACTATCTTTACTCTGCTTTAAGCTTTAGCTCAGTTATAGCTGTTTCTCTCACATCTCCAGCAGGAAACTTTTCTGCAAAAGTTGAATAGTTTATTGTAAAATGTCTCTCAGCATTCAACTTTTTACGAAGCTGAAGTTAGCTTCGCCAGGTTCTTGTATGAATTGTCCCGTTCCACCTTAACTGGTGCCTGAGGCGGTGGAATGGAACTGCTGCACCATTTGAGGTGGAACGGGAAAATTCGAACAAGAAGCTGGCGAATGAGAAACTGACTTCAGCTTCACGACTTCTTAGTGCTTGACAGTTTCTCGTTTGCAGATTAAACATATCCGCCCCTTTTGAAGAAGCGGTTGTGATTATGTGTTTAAAAATGGGCTAACATAACAGTGTTTTCCTGTCAGGAATATACCAGGGCAGAATGTTTGAAGTGACCGATGGCTTTATGTCTGACCACCACAGAGTCAGTAACACTTGTCTGTGTGAGCAGAGCCTCCTTTACTGCATGTGTGATTAGCATGCCAGTGTACCCTCAGCTTATGGCACCTGGTATCAGCTTGTATCGCAATGTTGGTATCGGTGAATTTTTATGAGTACATAAGCACGTTTCAGTATCCATAGTGTATACATATATCAACCTATTGAGCCTACAGCAGTTTAGTTCTGCCTGTTCATATTGAAGCTATAAGGAGTGTTTGAACCCAAACTGCTTTTTGAATGAGGCCCTACATAGGGCAGCCAATCAGAGCAGGGCTTATCTACATATACCAGTCTTAAAGCAAGAGAGGTTGGAAAATAGTCCTGTAAAAATGAATGGTGACTTTGAGATATAAAACCACACAAAAATAAGTGGACCTCAGGGGAAAACTGAAATATAGGAATGATGTAGGATATGGGCATTTAAAGACTGGTATAAAAAAGCAGTCATACATCAAGTCTGTAGTTCTATGGAACAGGCAGTTCTTTGAACGGTAGTCAAAGCCATAATGCATAAGGTAGAATGACCTGTCTGAGTGATGTAGAAATTCATGTGCCGCTGTACAGGTTACCTGCTGTTTAAATGGCTGTGCTGAATAAGTCTTGCAGGCACTCTTCTGAATTTTTCAAGACTCGCTAAATGAATTCTACAAGTGCAAAGTAATCTACTTTATGTGCAAATGTTATAGAAAGTGGCAAAATGGATGTACTTCTTCCCTTGGGGTGTGTTGTTTAATTAAACTTTTAAGTTACCTAACTAACTCTCTCTCTCTCTCTCTCTCTCGTTTTCCTCTGCAGTCTGCTCACAGTACTCAAGGGGCGTGTTTGCCATTTTCGGCCTGTATGACAAGCGCTCCGTACACACGCTGACGTCATTCTGCGGAGCACTCCACATCTCCCTCATCACCCCCAGCTTCCCCATCGAGGGCGAGAGTCAGTTTGTCCTGCAGCTGAGACCCTCCATACGGGGGGCACTGCTCAGCATCCTGGACCACTATGACTGGAACCGTTTTGTCTTCCTCTATGACACCGATCGGGGTGAGACTCACACACACACACACACACACATTCACACACACGCACACACAAACAAACAAAGACACACTCACACCTGTGCCACAGCTAAGTTTGGAATCAAGAGGTCATTTAGTTGCGGTCAGAACAAAACCTCCAAATTGTAACTTTATAGGAGAAAGAAACAAGCAACTTTTAATGTAAGTTAATGTAATATGATTTTATTCAGAGCAGTTTTTGGACCATTTCTGTTGATCTGTTCATCGTGAAACTTTCACACAATGTGAAAGGCAGATGACATTTTCAAATTATGTCAAAAAAATGTAAAACCCACAAAAATGGATGTGCAAGGTTTTGTTCATACAGTGAATATTTGTTCCTGGGTTACAAGACCCAGAGATGTTTCTGCAGGTTACATAAGTGTGTAGGGGTGTACCTCGCAATGGTTTGATTTGATTATGATTCTTGAGGAAATGATTAAATCATGAAATCATGAAATCAGATCTGATTCATATAGATTATTTTGAGATAATTTAGAACGAGTCACAGTTTTTGTCAAATTTCTAAATAGTCATGAAAGAGAAAAAAATATATAGTAGACTGAATGAGGATTTTTGATAAACAAATTAGCTTCTCAGTATGTTACACATTCTCATATTTGGATTATTCTACTGAATTGTCCGAGTCAGAGTTCAAAACACATTTCAGACTTTTAACTGACTTGGACTTTAGACTAAACACTTTTTGCTTTGACCCTATACCTTAATTATGTTTATTTTACCAAAATAAATGATTGAACATTCCATTTTCACACTACCGAAACAATCATAACACTACTGAAACTTCACCAAATGTTTGTGTAGTGATTGCTTCAGTAGTGACAATTTTAGCTAATTTTGAGCATCACTCAGAAACCCTAACCAGTACATGACTAGCAAACACAGCTTTGAACAATTGTGCACTTATAAAATCATGATATTTTTTATTTAAACACCAAAAGGTTTACTTAAATGCAGAAAATGTTTTGGTAGTGACAGTTTTCAGACTTTTGGACACATTTACAAGAAAAACAAATGGGATCTAACTGCTCACCATGTAGCAGTGAGGAATGGGGATGCAGTCTCACTTCCTGCTGTAAAGTGCAGGGATGTGGCTAAAATAATGGACTAAAACTCTTAGTTCTTCAGTAGTGACATGAAAACATGGGACAGCATTTTTGAATAAATAGATAACAGAGATAACAAACAATTATTGTTTATATTTTATAATATAACAAATTTGAATATAAATTTTTCAATACAGTTGAAACGCCACCTTACATGCATGCATGACTATGCATCAGGATGCATCAATGCATTCCCACACTCCTAGGAGTGAGTAACATCAGCAACATTTTTTAAGAACTGGAGGGCTCTGTTGCTGTATCACTGGCAAGTAAGTGATTCTAGGATATTGATCTTCTGGATAATGCATGAAAATACTCACACTGTATTATTGTGTGCCTCTGGACAAAAGTCTTCAATAATATCTCTTCTCTGGCTCTATAACAATTATACAACCTCCTCTACGTTGCGGCATATACACAGCACAAGGCTATTTTCATGTTGATCACTGTATAGTAATGGTTTCTAGGAATTAGCTGTGGTGGTCATACTGGTCTCAGTGGTATTTCACAGTGAAGGAGGTTTTCATCACTCTGCTGTTTAGTACTGATGTAATGTTTAGTACTGGCAGTGCGATGACCTGAAGTGATGGACTGCTCACTTTGGGAAGTGTTTTTATTTCCTGCTAGGGTTTTATTAATAGAGTTGGCTGCTGTGGTTTTATTCTTCTGGAACACACCCAGGCTGCGAGCTTCCAGTGCCTAATGAACACTTCCTTAGCCAAGAATCAGAGCCTTGTCTGCACTCCCCCGACTTGTCTTTTCTCTTTCCTCTCCATCAGTGTCTTTTCTTCTCTCTTCCTCTTCTCCAGCATGCTAGGCCGCTATACTGGCAGGAGCCCCAGAGGAAAGCTGTGGCTTGTGCTCTGACACATTTCCTAAAAGCACTCACTTCCTGCGAGAGCCTGCTAGATGAACTACTGATACATCCTACTTTATCCTCCAGTCATCTGACACTGTTGGTTTTCTGTAGGCCTAGATTTGGTAAACAGCTCCGCTACCAACGGAAATAAAATCTGAGACACAGCTCTGTGCCCTTTTCACCCCAAATAACATGACGTTCTGCTGCTGCAGTTGGCAGTTCACTGACTCGTAGAGCACAGACAGTCAATGCGGCTTTCCAAAATCTGCAAGAGCAGATGGATTTTCTCAGTCTTATGACAGTAATATTTATGTTATTACAGTTTATTTTTGGTCAGACCAAATTTTGGTCATTTAGTCCAGACTGTGGTCTGAGGCACCTTGGACACCTGCTATTTTGGTTTGGACCAAACTGAAAAGTCCAACAGCCCAGACCAAACAAGGTGGGTGTGAAACTACTAATACTGAACCATCAACGTACATGTAGATGTAGTTGCTGTGTCTCTTAATATGTGTTATAGTGTTATGTCGGTGAGTTTGGTTGCTTTTGTTGAGAAATGTGTTGATTATAGTTGACCTATCTATGCTCCACCCCCAAATGTATTCTTTTGTAGCAACTGTTGTAAGGTTGGAAGATTTACAGAAGGTTGGCAAAAAGTTGGAGTTTAGATTTTCTATGTAATGTTTCCAGTTTAAAATGATATGCTACTGGGCTTAATTGTGTTTGTGTTGATAATTAAAGCTCTGCAGGTTGAAAATTATAGCAACTTTGCCACCATGCTAATGTTACCGTGATTACACAACACAAAAGCTACATCTGCTCTGTTCTACCATTGTGATCATGAATTATTATTATGATTAATATGACTTTGCAGTTGCAATGCAGTGGAAATGCCACCTTGCATGCATGCATAACTATGCATCACGATGCATCAATGCATTTTTACACTCCTAGGAGCGAGTAATATCAGCAACATTTTTTTAAGAACTGGAGGGCTTTTTTACACACATACGACATAAATATCATTTGAAAGCACGCTCCGCATCTCATTTGAAAGCATATTTCCATATCACAGCATTCACAACAGGCTCCATGGGGTCGTGAGGAGCTGAGGGGGTGTGGCTATACAAAGTGACTCTTGGAAGGCGTGAAACGGTACTGTTGCTGCTGTTGCTACAAGCTAACAATGTTAGTGTTGTCAGTTTAACATGTGTTTACATTTTGGTTGTTTTTATTGTGCTCTGCTGTGGGATGTTGGATAGTGGTTACCTTTCTTGCTATTTTCCCTGCGATTCACTAGCACACTATTAGTAGCGATGTAGTCTATTAATACTAAACATAGATGTTAAATCCCAAAACTCCCACTGCAAACTCAGTCGACTAGTTCTGCATTCTGTGATTCTGTTCTTCATTCCACACAAAGAAAGCAAACAGAAAATGTGTTCTAGGGCCAACGTTTTTTGATAATGTCATGAAACATTATTGTGACACTGTGTTCCATGTAAGATGTGGCCTATTTAAACTTTTGTAGACCAGTAGTACAGAACTATTTTATTGCAATATGAAGCGCCAAAAGCAATTTATAGAGGTGTTATTCATTTTTAAGGACTGATTTCACAAGTGAGTGTGCACTCCATATAAAAGAAGCCGTGTCAAGCACTATTTTATTGCTGTTTTATTGCTATATGAATGGTTAAGATGTAAATATGTGACTTGCCTAAAATATCTTGGTACTAAAAAAAAGCCTTTAACAGTGTTTACAGCTGTGGTTGTGTAGGTAGTGCGTGACTCCCTACGGGGACATGTTTTGACTGCTGGCTGAGTGGGCCGAGGGCAGGGTAGGCTTGGCTCAGACTCACTGGACTGCGAGAGATCTCAGCCGACACAAGCAGAGCATGAAGAGACATGATGAATGGCTCAGAAAGAGAGAGAGTGCTCTCTGTCTCCCTCCCTCTCTCATTTTCTCTCTCTCTGAAATTTTCTGTCTATATATCTCTCTCTTTTTCTGCTGTTTTGTCTCTACTTCTCTCTTTCTGTCTCTCTGTTTCAGTCTTTCTCTCTCTCTCTCTCTCTCTCTCTCTCTCTCTCTCTCTCGCTCTCTCTCTCTCTTTCCCCCTTTCTATCTTATGGGCGGCAAATCCAGCCAAAAAAGAAATTAAAATTAAAACAATAAAATGTAAATGCAAACCTCTTTTTGCCATTTCTTTTTCCAAACATCTGCGCAAATATCCTGCCAAAATTGAAAATTAAATGAAATACCTACATTTGCAATTTCATTTTTCACATGAGCACGAGGCATCAGTGACAAAAATAAAAATAAATGTAAAACAGCTATTTGTCATTTCATTTTAGTTGTTATTCTGGTTTTTCATGGTCAAATCTAAAATGGAAAAGCTAACAGAAAAGAAAATCCAAGCTTCACTTTGGCTTTTCTTCATGAAATGCAGAATACGTGTCAAAACTAAAATCAAAATGCAGTGTTCACGTTCTTATTTCTTTTTCACAGTAATCGGCTGCAGATCTGACAAAATGAAAATGAAAATGCAAAATGAATAAATCAACAGCAAAGTGACAGTTTGTGATTCGGTTTTCGGCGCGGACACGCTTTAAGTGTGAGAATGAAAAGGCAAATGCAAACGAACATCAGCGCCACCTGCTGGACATTTACTTTACATTTTCCACTTTTCGTTTTCGTTTTCAAACTGACCAACATGCAAATATATGTTAATTAGCACTGGGCGGGGCTACGGGGTACATTTTAGGACATCCTCAGACCTCCGAGTCAGAACGGCATCATTCCTCAAGCTAAACGACTTAGTCTCGAGAAAAACCATCGTCATGACACCGTCAGAAAAAACTGGAAATGTTATACTGGCATTTATATCGAGATACATAATAGTTTTCTAAGTTATAACCACCGAACCAGTATGTGCTGGACCAGGCCTGCGTTTGGTCTGATACCTTTTCTCTGAGGCCGTTTGGTCTGACAGTGTTTGTTCTGATGTTCAGTTTCACCAGATCTGAGTCATGATGATGGTTTTTCTCGAGACTCAAAGTCGTTTAGCTTGAGGAATGATGCCGTTCTGACTCGGAGGTCTGAGGATGTCCTAAAATGTACCCCGTAGCCCCGCCCAGTGCTAATTAACATATATTTGCATGTTGGTCAGTTTGAAAACGAAAACGAAAAGTGGAAAATGTGAAGTAAATCTCCAGCAGGTGGCGCCGACATTTGTTTGCATTTGCCTTTTCATTCTGACACTTAAAGCGCGTCCGCGCCGAAAACTGAATCACAAACTGTCACTTTGCTGTTGATTTATCAGTTTTGCATTTTCATTTTCATTTTGTCAGATATGCAGCCGATTGCTGTGAAAAAGAAATAAGAACGTGAACACTGCATTTTGATTTTAGTTTTGACACGTATTCTGCATTTCATGGAGAAAAGCCAAAGCCAAAGTGAAGCTTGGATTTTCAAAATGAAATGAAAAATAGCTGTTTTACATTTATTTTTATTTTTGTCACTGATGCCTCATGCTCATGTGAAAAATGAAATTGCAAATGTCGGTATTTCATTTAATTTTCAATTTTGGCAGGATATTTGCACAGATGTTTGGAAAAAGAAATGGAAAAAAGAGGTTTGCCTTTACATTTTATTGTTTTAATTTTAATTTCTTTTTTGGCTGGATTTGCCTCCCATATCTATCTCTCTCCTTATTGCATCCCCTCCTCTTTCTCTCTTTCTCCTTTCTCTCTCTTTCTCTGTCTTATTTGTCTCTCTCTACCGTTCTTTGTTACTCCCCCTTGTCTCTGTCCCTCTCTTTCTCACTTTTGATACTTTCTCCCCCCCCCCTTCTCTCTCACCTTACCTTCTCTGTTGGTCTCTCTTCCTCTTTTTTCTGTAATTATCGCTTTCTCCCCCCCCCCTCTTTCTATCTCTCTGCCTACCACCTCCCCTCCTCTTTTTCTCTCTCTCCTTTCTTTCTTTCTCTATTTGTCTCTCTCTCTTTCTTTGTCACTCCCCCTTTCTCTCTGTCCCACTCTCTCCCTGTCTCACTCTTCTTTCCTTCTCTACTTCTCTGTCTCCCTCTGATCCATCTCTCTCTCTCTCTCTCTCTCTCTCTCTCTCTCTCATTCTCTTTCTCTGTCTTTCTTCTCCTCTCTGCTCTGTTGGTCTCTCTTCCTCTTTTTTCTGTACTTTCTCTCTCTCTCCCTTTCTTTCTTCTGTCTTCCTTTTGTCTTTCTGTCTTTTTCCTCTTTTCCATAGAACACATCCCTATGCATTGTTGCTTCCCTCTGCTGGGCCGGATGCTGAATGGGGGGAGGGGAAGGAGGAGCGACTGCTTTGGCACCACTTACACTAATGTGAATTTCTCATACACAAACACACAAACACACACTCAGATTCACACACAGCCTGAGGCTACAGATTTATCAGATATTAATCAGCGCTCTATTCTCTGTTGGAGGGCTTGAATTATTAGCAGTAAGGACTGTGGCCGGGAATTGGAAGTGAAGGCATTTCATATGATTACACAGTATTGCAGGTGTGTGTGTGCAGCTACTCAGAGGCAGCTCCATGTGCATGCATGCTTGTAACATGTCTGGATTTAATGTATGTCTTTGTGCACACAGCCTGCTGTATGCATTATGTGTTTATGATCACTGGGCATTGACTGATGCGGTTTACAGACCACCACATTAACAGGGCCTTTACGTGTTCCATAATGTACCATGCTTTGATGTGTTAATTCTAGTGGAAATTTATGGAATGAGAAATCCCCTGAGCATCACAGCAACCAGTGTGCTCTGTTTAATTTATACCAACCCACCAACCAATCACGCATGAACATACAAACATAAGAGGGAATACACGAATATACAAGGGCATCTGATGGCTACCACGTATGTGTGGATGAAATAATGGTATGTTGTTGTTATTATCATTGGTATTATGATAAATTACATCCCAGTAATCTTTTCTGATGGTATTGTGGATATCATCAGTTAAAAAAAATTTAAAAAATTGGCCCTATCACTGGGAGATTGGAAGGGGTTGGCCCTGTCCTGGGGTGGAAAATGGCACTGATTTTACTGGTGGAATCATGTATGATGTAACTACAGTATTTTTTGACATGTCTTAAAATGTCTGATTATGGGACATTTTTATATTGAAATTTACCTTAACCCTAAATAAGCTTTCCATTCTTAGATTTTTATGATCAACCAATGCATCTTTAGTTTAATGCAGTTCCTACGGCTTCCACTACTTATTGTGGAGTTTCTAGGCTGCCTTCACGTGCCAAACATGCTGCATGCAGACAGTCGTTACCACAGAGACTGTCTAATAGAAATTTTAAAAGTTATTTGGTCAGAGCTTCAACATAACATAGGTTTTGTTACGAGACTGTATGATCAAATCTCCCATGGAACATGATTTGTGAAATGTTGCATGTAATATAAATTTTAACAGCATTTCATAAAATATATCATTACTGTGTCACGGGTGCGTTGTGTTTGATCCACTCATCAAACCTTAGAAAGATCAAATATAATGATATACTATGGGCCAGTTTCCCAGACACAGATTAAGCTTATGTCCAGTCTAAATAGGATTTGCAGCATTGACATTGCAGTTTAGTCCAAAGCTAAGTTTAATTCATGTCCACAAAACAGGCCTATATGACCCTGTTAAAGTTTGCTGACTCTTGCTTATCCAAGTTTCAAGGTCATAAATAAGGAATTTGCCCTAATTTTGCAGTAACTGCCTCTATTCTTTTGGGAAGGCTTTACACTAGATCTTGGAACATTGCTATGAGAATTTGATTGCATTCAGCCCGTGAGTTTAGGTACTGGTGTTGAATGTTATTTCTGGATCACATCTCCTCCTCTGCTCATCCCAGAGGAATTGATTGGAGCTCCATCACTCCAGGGAACACAGTTCCACTGCTCCACAGCCTAATGTTGGGAATGCTGGGGGGGGGGCTTTATACCCCTCTAGCCGACGCTTCAGAGCATCCCATTCTATTGGTAATGCTTTTCTATGGAGATTATTTAAGTTCTGTATGAAGTTCTCAGCAATGCAATTCTAACTAGTGAATTTACTAGTTAAAAGGGGTGTCTGGACACATCTGGACACACAGTGTACGTATATTGTATCATGAAAATTGTGATTATTTTATTTTTGCCATATTACCCACTCCCACTACCTAGAAGGCTCCTCATTGCTTAACATAGCTTCGCTGGTTGCCATTGAATTGTATTCTCTGGCACAAATACTTCACCATGTGGGAATTTAGGCTAAGGAAGAGCAAGGGTGAACAGACATGGCTCCCAAATGGCGAAACTGCAGGGTTGCCAGATTAAGCATAGGTTAATCCACTAATTAGGGGAGCAAGAGGGAGCTTTTGCTCTCCCTGTTGCCAAATTCTGATTGTGACCATAAGGATCCGTTTTACAGGGACATCTGCTCATCTTGGAGTCAAGTGGCCCTCAGAGGCTGCGGGTGCCTCTCTCGAGCAGCCAGATTAACATATCTAACATCAGCCTGGACTGATTGGAACAAGCAGCAGCGTAGCAGGCTGGAATTAAAGCTCTGGTAATGCTGCTGTCCTCTTAGAGCCTCAGTAACACCTCAGAGGTGTGAGAGCATGCCTTTTTTTCCGTCTGCCAATTTGGCCTAATGAACTGATAGTTGTGCGGCTGCATCGCGGTTGTGCATCCTGTTTTGACATTGCCAGCAGCTAGTTGAATGCAATGAGAAAAGCAGTGCTCTGCCCTATCGCTGATCTCTTTTAGACGACATCTAAAACTAGCTGATGTGTAGGAAAGGACAGCAGGGTAATGAGAATATTAGCATATAGATATCAACATGCTAGCTTGCGGCATCTCCGCAACAGCCATGAGCTCACTCTGCTGCAGTGCCTCTGACTCACTGCTTAAATCACACTTCACCTTCTCCTTATGTGTGTCGAGCTTTGTGATGCAAGTGTCGTTTCCTATCCCACAGGATATTCCATCCTGCAGGCCATCATGGAGAAAGCAGGCCAGAATGGCTGGCAGGTCAGCGCGATCTGCGTGGAGAACTTCAATGACGCCAGCTACCGACAGCTCCTAGAGGACCTGGACCGTAGGCAGGAGAAAACATTTGTGATAGACCTGGAACCAGAGAGACTTACTAACATGCTGGAGCAGGTACATCACAGTGTATTTGTCCATATCTTTCATGGCTAAAAATCTTAATATGGTCTAGCTAATGTCAAAGTATATTGTCAAAGACTAAAAAATATAAACAAAAACGCAGACTTAGGCCCAATCCCATTTCACCCCTTGCCCCTACCACTTAGCCTTTCGCCCTCTGTTTTGTACGTTCACGTCTAGGGTTAGGGTGTCACAATTTTTGTTGAGATAGAGGGGTTGCCGACCCCTGACCTAGAGCAAGATTTTCAGATTTAAAGACTAGGAAAACCTCCTTCTGATGGCATATCTTGAAGATGGGAGGAGCTTTTGAATAACTGTAAAGACACGATGGGTACTCGAAGTTAGGATATTGTTTTTTTCCCAACTCTTTTAGAAAAACTATCAGTACCACATTGCAGAATGATGCATGTTTGCCAGGATTCGATCTTGTTCTGAGATGTTTTCCTCAAATGGCCTTTACAATTTCAACACTATAAATAGCTAGCTAGCTAACAGACCTAATGTTATGCTAGCTCTGTTATGAGTGAACGGCTAGACTTCTTTTCACTGCGTAGCCTTTAGAAAGTCACCTAGTGAACCAGAGTAACAGTTGTTCAGGGTTTAACTAACACTGGATTGAGGAACAGAACAGTATAGTCATTTTCAAAGAAAACTATGAATTGCTTACCATCAATATTAACAAAAAATGTTTTATTTCAGGAACTCTTACTGCTTTATTGCCCAGGCAGGTGTACATTTCAGTCAGTAATGGCTGAATACAAAATGTCCCATTGCTGTTACCATTCAAAAAATCTATAAAACTAAAAAAAGCTAATTGAGGAAAGAGGCAGAAACAATACTGTTTGAAACGACTTGAGTCTGTAAGAGCGTCATTTGCTATTAGCTGTGACAAAGTCCCACAAGATTGCCTTTTGGAATCATTTCCCTGCCTGTCAAATGTTTCTGAGATATGAGAGACTGTATTTGCTTAATTTCCCTGCAGTAACAGAACATTATAAACGGAGGCAGAGTCTTTGATTACTGATAATTAAAAACAGCAGAAGTCTGCTTCCTTTCCCCCGGTTGGAGGCACAGCTATTTCATTCTGATGCGGACCGAACGTTGACAACTGTGTTTGCGCTGCGGATTTTGCTCATCTCCATGTGTCTGGCTTACCTCTGCAGATTGTGAGCGTCGGCAAGCATGTCAAAGGCTACCATTACATCATGGCAAATTTGGTGAGCGAAATTGTTTTCTCTTATCACCCTATTCTCCCTGTCAGCTTTGCCTCTTTTCATATCCATATTATCTCTCTCTCTCTCTCTCTCTCTCTCTCTCCCCTCCCTTCTTTTCCATTTTCCTTCTGCCTGTCTTCCAGCTCTCTTCCTCTTCTCTCACTGTCTTTTTGCCTGCATAGTCCTCCCTTCTTCCTCCTTTCCCTCCCTCCCTCTGTGGCTTTCTTAATCCGCTCCCTTTTCCTGTGTAAGATACGTCAGTTGAGGAGTCTAATTCGTATTCCGGGCTGCAGAGCCAGTGACAGTGTTTTAAAGCAGAGAACAGGCTGTGTGCCTGTGCACAGGATTGGCTCACAGAGGCAAGCAAGGGAATGTGTGTGTTTGCAGAATCACTCTTATCACAGCCCAGCTTTAATAATTCCTCTCTCTCTCTCTGGTCCTTTCTCTCTCTCTTTTGCTCCAACAGGGCTTTAAAGACATCAATCTGGAGCGTTTCATGCATGGTGGGGCGAATGTGACAGGTTTTCAGCTAGTGGACTTCAGCAATCCCATGGTGATTAAGCTCCTGCAGCGTTGGAACAAGCTGGACCAGCGCGAGTACCCTGGCTCTGACAGCCCGCCCAAGGTAAACTCACGCTCCTTGACCACGACCAGACATGCACTCCACACTGGGACTCAAACACACCAGTTCCTGCTTAAATATTCCAGTCCAAATGTTTGCTGTTTGAATTAGGGATGCATCGATCCAGCTTTTTTCGCTCCTGGAAGGGATTCCAATATCTCAACTCATGTACTCATACCGAGGGTTTATCTGATACTGGTGCTCGGTTAAAGTACTTTTGTAGCAGCATACTTAAGCATAAATATAGAGTAGATTTTGACATACCACAGTGGAAACGGTCATACATCAACATTTATTTTACAATGTATTTGAACTCAAAATAGCCTAAATGGCTTTGTCTTAATAATGCAAGAAACATGTCATGACAGATGTCGTATGCTGTCATAAGTTGTCATAACAGATAGCATAATGTTCGACGTCATGACAGCTTATGTTAAATGCTAATTTTTGCTCTAGACAGCCATCATGACTTCAAACATTATGACATCTGTCATGACAGTTAACAGTAATGATAGCATGAAACTGTTACTGGACATAATCTATCATGACAACTCATGACAGTATATGACATCTGCAATGGCATGTTTATGGCATGATTATCAGCGTTATGTAGAGTTCAAGTGTTACAGTGCAAATATTAAATGATATTGTTCTAGGTTTATAAAATTGCACTTGTTACAATGTTACAATTATAACTAAGAAAAAATATCTGAGGATCAGTTATTCATGTCTGAACAACTCTGACCAATATCTGATTTTTAAGGTTAGTATCAGTGCCGATTCTCAGCTAGTGTATCAGATTGGAGCCTCACTAATTCAGATATCCAGATTTTTAGATGAATATTTTTTGAATATCCAACAGGAATGTATTTTATAGTGATGTGGATCAGATCAGTGTGGAACTATGTTACGGTAGAACATGAAAGCTTGTAATATCTGCAGTCCCAGCGATTTGATAGCATTTTAACTAACTGTCTTTTGTGTATGTCTGTTTTCTGTTGCTTACTGTGAGCAAAAAAAAACATTTTTACTCTTGAGTCACGACCGGTTAAAAAGAAGGTATAATGGAAACATTCTGCTTTACCAACTGAAGTGGCTTTGCTGTATTGTGCATCATTCAAAAAGCATTCAGGGCTGAAATAACTTCAGTGTGAGCGGGCTGGGCAAAATTGTTATAGGCTGAATAGGAGGATATATGTAAACGTATTGGTTTTCGTGACCTCAGGAAAACAATGAATTCAAAACAGGCTGTTTTTGCAGCTCAATTTGTATTTATGGACTGGAGGGTCTTACCAATGTTTACATACTTCATCAGTTTTATTTCTTATCTAGCCTAAGTTGTGTTGTGTTATCTATGATATGATAACTCGGTTAAGTAAACGAATACTAAATTGAATTTGGTTATCCATATATATATTTGCATAATCACACCCATATCTAGTTCTGAGTCCTTTGCATCCTAATACAAATGCATTACTTCCTTGCAGTTAAGAAGCTAAGCCCAAATTTCCAGTAAAATTGCATTTTCAGCAAAGTTTGAACAGCATTAAGGAGCCGTGGCCAACACAGGTGCTAGTATTGAGTACACCACATCACCTAGAGCCCCATATGCAGTATGTAATGCTGTGTATTACAGAGCCTCTCTATATGCTATGATGGGCTTATTCTAACCTCCACATTTTCCCATTTGCGCTCCCATGTCTAACCTTGCCAGAGTGTAGCCGTGGAAGGCTCTGCTGTATTTCTATCCTTTTTCGCTGTGACTGCGTGTCCCCATGGGGTCTGACGAGGATGACACTGTGAAGAGGGCTGTGGGACTGATGTGGTAAAGGAAATCCCTTTGGCATGGCCTGAGGGGATGCTGCTTTACTGGGCGGCTGCTTCTCACCGCACACCACTGACTGGGGCTGGGACCTCTGCCCTGGAGAGGTGAACAGCATTAAGGGCTCAGACAGAGGCACCTGGTCAGCACAGTGTGTGAAACACACACATAAATGCGTGCAGGTGATAAACTCCTAAATGTATTTGACTCAACATCACATCTAACATTTTTCAATGTTTTCAAAGTGTCATATAACAAGAATAATATCGCTCGCTCTCTCTGGGTGGGTAGGATGGCCTCCTTCCCTCCTTCTCCCCCATCACTCAACGCGTTGCTAGTCAGCGCAAGCGTCTGTTGGCTGACGTAACAGATCTGGCGGTTGGCGCTTTCCTCCGAGCACGTTCAGCTGTCCAATGGCGTTGCATGAGCGGCAGTTCGAAAAGATGTGGTGGCACTTCACAGGTCTCGGAGGAAGCCTGTGTTAGCCTTCACCCTCCTAGCGTTGATAGTATCGTGTGACTGGGGGAGTCCTAACTAGTGGGTGGAATTGGAGACGACTAAATTGGGGAGATAATTGGGCAAAAATCATGTACAAAATGGTCATTAAGTATAAGTTATTAAATTTCAGTAGATATTTCTGAGGAGATTAGATATAAGATAATCCACTTGCAAAATGAAGGGGGAAGTTAAAAGATCATATGTAAGAAAACCTGGAGCTCAGAAAATGATGAGAAAATATATAGAGAAAATGAGATTCCTTACAACCGTGCAAGATCTGGTACACCACCAAAACTGTCCCCATCAGATGAACAGTACTTAAAGCTTTCATCTTTGAGAGAGAGGAGAAAATGAAGAATCTTAATTTCTGAATTAAGGGTGTGAAAGGATGTCTAGATGTAAAGAAGCCATTACTGAGGGAGGAAATAGACAAAAATGTAGAAACATTGCAAATCAGACAAAGAAGCTGCTGGTGTTCTCAGAACAATGGGCTGACCACCCTGGAGTCCAGACATCATTGGATGTGTTTAGGAATGAAAAGACTGAAGTTTGGAGGAAAATATCCTTGGACATTTATTTGAAAAACAGAAAGTAAGTGTCCTGAAAAGAATGGAAGCTGTAACAAATGCAAAAAAATATATTTAGTTGCTGAGACTTTTATGTAAGTTTCTCTAAAATGTTTCTTTATTTTTCTGACACTGAAAAAGAAAGTTTTGTTAGGCTGCAGATTTATTTGATAACCATGACATAAAAATGGACAACAGCACTGAATGTCATCTGTGCTTTTCCATATACTCTGACATGATTTTATTTCTCTTCTTTCTATGCATTTTAAACAGGGAATTGACCATGTGTAACATTGCATTTGGATTTATTTTGATCATAACAACCTCTGATAAATTATTATAGACTATTTCATGGCTGTATGTTGGAGCAATTTACTGATTCACAAACAGTAAAATTCCATAGCCTGTGTGTGTGTGTGTGTGTGTGTGTGTGTGTGTGTGTGTGTGTGTGTGTGGACATGTCGTTATCAATACAACACAACTACTAGGTCTGATAGCGTTCCAAAGATATTAGGCCTACATACAGTCTATATTAAAAGAATGGAATTAACCATTTTTTTGTTTTTTTTTTCTAGCCAATTAATAGAATTTATGTTGAGGCTGGAACACAAGTAAGCGAACATTACAATATCAGTTCTGCTTTGAGTGAACTGATTAATGTTTAATCATCTAGTCTAATGGTGGATTATTTCCTATATTGTGTACTTTTTGTATTTTTTCTATATTTAATTAGACTTTTTTTATTGAAATTTCACTCTGTGCCAAGAGTAACCCTATACGTCTTGTACATCTTGATTCTGATTCTCGTTCTAGAAATACCCTCCATTGTCTAGTTTATAATATTTCAGCCAGTACTTTAGAAGTTATTATTGAAAAAATACCAGTGATTCCAAACTTTTGAATGATATTGTATGTGTGATTTGCACAGAATTGTGACTGTAGCTGATGACTTCTGGAGTATCTCTGTCTCTCTCTGGCTCACTTACATTCCTTCCTCTCTTTGCTCAAAGACAACTCTCAGTCATTGGTGCTGCTGAAAACACACTCAGAGCTCTCTTAGTTGTTAATTAAAGCCCTTTTGGTGCCACGGCTATTCTCCGAGCCCCTAAAGTACGCTCTATCCTCTTCATCATGTGAATCCTCAGCAGATGCGCTGGGCTCAGTCCCCTTGTTTAAGAGCTTTAGACAAATTTGCCCTCCGTCCACCTAGCAGTGGGCCAGGGGGGAGCATAGGGCATTAGTGGGACTGATCGAGCTGCAGAGGAACTGCTCTTTAACCCCCCCACCCTGGTGTGAACGGTAGGCTACCAGTGCCACACTGAAGGCCCTAATGAATCTGAGAGAATGATGTAATATCCTCCCTCTGGCCTGGGGGAGATAATGAACTCCCCGCCATCTTTGATAATTAATACATGACTGTAATGCTGTGGAACTCGCTCTGTATGTCTGTTGTGTGTGTGTGTACCTCTTGCTTTCTCATTCTATCTCTCTCTCTCTCTATCACTCTGTCTCCCTCGCCTCCCCTGCTGATCTGATGTTTTTGCCTTGAGGTCTCTCCATGGGTTTTGTATTTTTGTTTGTAAAGGAACAAAGAATCAAAACTCCTGTACCACCAATCCTTCAGTGGAATTCCAAACACCTTTTTCACTGTGTTGTGAGAAAACAGGATACTTTGAAGTGTCAGCCTTCAAAAAACAGACAAGACTGCCTGAACAGTACGCAAAGGTGTTGCAGAAAATATTGGAACATGGTAAAACATAGTTTTAACCCATAACCCCTTAAAGTGCCAGTCTTATTACATTCTAAGGCTTCAGTAATTACATGGACTACATTGCAAACTGGCTGATTCATTTATTAAGTTATAGGAGTGTGTAATAAAGTCTGAACCCGCCAGCAAGTCCTGGATTGAAAGTCACCGTTACCACTGACAATAACAAAAGCATGATGTAACCCAATATTAATTACTTTTCACATGCAGCTCATGAAAACAAACTCGGGCCAGAAGTACTGACTCGAAACCAGGAGTTTCAGGCTGAGTTTTTTCTGGGTCACGGCTCTGCAGAGTTTAGTGTTCTGCCTCATTAAACACACCTGATTCAACTCACCAGCTAATTAGTAAGACCTTTTAGAAGTTGAATTCAGAGTGTTATGCTGCATTCAGGCGCTCCTCGGAAGACTGTATATACCAGATGGTTAGATAGTGAATACTTCACTTGTTCAGGGTTTGTTGAAAGATACGCCCACCGCATGGAAAAAGAAAGCACAGGGGTCTGGAGAATATATATCTTGCTTTTTCATTGCTGTACTAAAAAGCACATAAGACCATCTGGTAATTTTTTCTCAGTGACCACCATGATTACCATTTTTTACCGGCAGAAAAACTGAAGGGTTGAGTTGTATGTCATGTCTGGAAAAAAATGTGTATCGTTAGAATCACAGGTTTCCCACTGGTAAATACAACTGTGTTGGATGTTCGAGTGCAGTTTACAAGTCGAACAATTGGTATTTCTTAGTTTCTGATACCACACAAATGCAGCATTAGAGCAGGGAAATCACATATCGCTGTGTCTTCATAAGTCGAAGTGAAGATATTTTATTATGATTTAGATTTGCTGAAAACTTATTTTTGGGTACACACTTGCTCTTTGGCCATTCTTGACATCAAAACAAACTAAAAAATGTCAAAAATTCAGGTTTGAATTTGTCTGTACTGAATGTAAAGTGTAAATGAAATGTATTGTATGACTCACTATGTAGTTAAATATGCAATTATATAATTACATTTGAATAACATAGCAAAACGAAGTAATAACTCTTGACTTCTAAAGGTTAATCATAAGTGGAACAGATTAACATCGGGTTAATTGGCAATAACAGGGCTGAGCACTCATGGGTAATGGTTCATGAAGCTGATGCAGTTCATAAAGAGGTAGGGATGAGATTAGATCAATGATAGTCTCACAAGCTAGACTACTACCTTTCAGCAGAGCGCCTGGTACTTTGTACTGCATAACATGATCAAGAACCACCTACAATTTCAGGAAGAAGCAGTTTGACTGACATGTCAAATGACTGATCACAACCTGCAGTGTGTTAGAGGGATGCAATCTTGAAAATTCCATAAAATTCCATTTTTTGTCACAATGTCCAGTGCAGGCAGCTGTTTTCTATTGCTGACTAGTATTTAGCTGGAAAAACAAAACTTTGTTTCCTGTCTAAATTATAAAAAATGCTGCAGTGTAGTGTGTACGCTGAAAAATGGTTGCACAAAAAGTATATGTATATGCATTTTTTCAGGGTATACGCAGGTGTGTGGATAGCCAATCACAACACATCTGACAAAAACCCAGCAGTTGTGGCCAGCTGCATGAGCAAAAGCTATGAGAAGCTCTATGTCCATGTGGACAGAGGCTGAAACTAGCTCAGTGCTGGCTGGTATTCAAGTTTGAGTAATGATTGCTGCTTCCACCAAATTTTCAAAATGTATTTACATTGTTTCACATCTCTGAGACTGAATTATAAAAACATCAGTGGAATTCACCTTTAAGCACTACTAAAGGAACAAAATATGCAAAGTAGTATTTTAGGAAGCCATTAATCCCATCATATACAGAGAAAATATGATTGAGTTATGATTATGAAATGAATTTGTCATTTTGTTTTTATTAAGAAGAACTTTCTTACTTGAGAGGTTAAGCCAACTCTGTATTAGATCTGTATGAAAAAACTCAGGTGAACTGCTCCTGACTCAATCCGATGACACACAGTCAGTGTAGAATAGACCAGCGTCACCACACACGTCAGACACACTGGAAATAGCCCAAAAAAACACAAACAACAGGAGAAAAACAGGGGCATTAAGTGTGAGACCTTTAAAAAAAATGGGCTATTCATGCGCACGTCTTGGTCTGCCGCACAGGCCCTATTTCCGGCCAGGGGAGACGTACTGGGCGCACACACGCATGTGTGTGTGCACCGTCTCCAGTGATTCATTCTGTATCCTTTTATCACAGCATGGAAAAGAGAACGGCCTCTTATTGGCACAATCAGCCCCCCCCATCTGGCTGAACATGCAGTGTGTGGAGCGCAGTGATTTCACATGCTCGGCCTGCTCCTGATATGTGCAATGACAAGCTTGTGTGAGTCGCCCAGCTCCGACTCCTCAACGCACCACTGCTCCATTCTCTCTCCCTCACTCACTCGCTTACTCTCTTTCTGTACGTATCACTCTCTATCCCTTTCACACGTTCACACATGACGCACTAGCTGAACCCATTTTTGTGCCGGCGACATATGACGTTATTTCTGTAATGCAGCTGTCCTCTGCAGAGAAAAAGCCTCCTTATCCGCTGGATAGCCTTCAGAACTCTGCTGGATTTTGCTGCCTAGTGGGATTTGAATCACAGAACTATTTTGACTAGACAAACATGGGTCCACTCAATTTGTCAACACATGACATTTAACTAGGCTTGGCACCAAGGGAGGGTCATGAAGGGGCAGTGCCCCCTAAGGTGGAATATTGTGCCCCCTCAGCTTTCCATTGCTCTTTTGTCCTGTAGGATAGACTATTGTTTGTAGAAGAAGATGAAGAAGAAGAAAATCTGAAAAAAATGTCTTTAAAAATATTTGTCCACAGGAGAAAATAATGTGAAATAAATACATTAGAAATAAAATTCAGTTAAAATTAAAATAATAAAGGCTATTGGCAATGACCATTTTACACTCTTGTGCTGTCAGGGAATGGACAGCTACTCTGGTGGTGCTTTCATGTTGAACTTTTAGGCTAATTTGTCCTCAGAACTGAATGTTAACAAATTAGTTTTGAACTTGCAATGGGAAGAAAAACAGCCCAGTCTTATCATCAACTTTTCATCAAAAGCCATGTTGTTACCTAATATGACCAGTTTTTTACATCAGCTTTGCTACAGAATTCTTTTCTAGTGCTCAGTTTAGTTTTCTGAAATAGTTTGCTGAATGCAAACCCAATTAACTGAAAAGTCTGTCTTGTCTGAACCAGATGAGTTTCCAAATCTCATTAGGTAAAAATGTATCCAGTTATCCATCATAATAATTAATATTGGGTTCAGTTCATTTTTGATCCCAATGGCATTTTTTTTAAATGACATCTGAAGTTTGTTTCTGATGAATCCGTGAATAAAAAGTAACTGTTCTGCATAAATTAAGGTGCCGCATATGGACTTTTCAGATCATTTACTTTGGAGGTCTTAATGCTTTAGTGTTAAAACTAACCCTGCTGTGTGGAGGCTCTAAGTTGTTTAGCTGCTTCAAACAGTGCTATATTTCAGCCACCAAGAGGCTGATTAAAATAACATAGGTGTGAATTCTGTGACTTAGACACACAAACTTATTAACAGAAAAACATTCATGATAAAGTTATTTTTAAGATGCTATAACCGTCTTCATTACTGTGATCATTCGCTCTGGGAATATGAGAAAGTGATTAAAAGCTTGTTATACTTTAACCTTTTTAGCTACATAAAAATAAACGTTACATTTTATTCTGTTGCAATTCAGTTAGGGTTGTTCTTTATTAAAGACGTGATTGAAACAGATAAGCCTGTATGTCCATGCAGTTGTGCCTCTGCAGTCATTTCTCAAGCCCCTTCGGTTATTTAATCCTGTCCTGCATTTAAAGATGATAAATTTACTCTGTTTATACTATACATGCAAAAATAATATAGAATTTTAAAATGTGTGTGTGCTTTGTGCTTTCTCAGTGAGATTACGTTGACAAAGAATAAAGAACAAAGCCTAGCTGAGGGGAGGGGGGTAAAAGAAAACGCGTTTGAGCGAGCACTGTATTGGATGCTTGGTATTTATATGACCTTTATCTGACCTTCTCTCTCCCCAGTACACCTCCGCTCTGACATACGACGGTGTGATGGTGATGGCGGAAGCCTTCAGGAATCTACGCAGGCAGAAGGTGGACATCTCCCGCAGGGGCAACGCTGGAGACTGCCTGGCAAACCCTGCAGCCCCCTGGAACCAGGGTATTGATATGGAGCGGACACTCAAACAGGTTAGAAACACGAAGGGGTTGGGCTCGACAGCATGTACAAAACACAAACTGTAGATTTATTGCTGTATATTGCTGGATTGATATGCCTTGCAGTATATCATTGCTATCATATCAAAGCATTGGCTCTATCATTATGAGGTCGTAGGTTCAATCCCTGTGGGAGATTGGGAGTTCAAGAGAGCATAATTGGCCTCACTTTCTAGGTCACTTTCTAGACCAGTCTTTGCTGATGCGGGTGTCTGTTAGCTGGCATTACAGAATTGATGGTAAATGTTCCTCTCCAAGCGTGTTGAATTGTCCAATGACATTGCGTTAGCAACAGTTTGAAAAAAATGTGCTGCCGCATCACATTTCTTGGAGGAAGCACGCGCTAGCCTTCACGCTACCAGCTTGGCAGCATCATGTCACCTAGCTAGTGTATAGTCTTGTGGGGCCAGATGTGATCTCGTTATAAGAACGTTTGAAGACAGCAATGAGAAATTTTGTGCTGAATGTGGGTGGGACTTATTAGGGAAGAAACAAACTGAGCATCAAATTTATAAACCAATGTATGTAAATATGTATCACGTGTGCGGAGAACATTACATGCAGCAAAAATAAACATTACCTCTTGCAAGGAAAGAAGAGTTCTGTTCTGTTAGCTAATGATACCGGTATGCTAGCTAGCTTGTTTTCTTGTGTTATTGATTGTATTTGAGACAGTAAAAGAGCACAGAGTAGAGGAATTTAGGGGTGGATTCAGAGGGGGGTGTATCCTTGTTTGTGGCAAATTTTTCCAAAAGTTTGATCAATTGTCCCCAGACATAAATTCTAGTCATGAGATTGCATCTGGCCTCGCAAGACTAGCTAGTGGGAGGAATTGGATGCAACAAAATTGGGGAGAAAATTGGGTAAAAATAAAGAAAGAAAGAAAAATGCCAGCTGCCCTTTACATTGTGAACAATGAATGCCTTCAGACACTAATATCTTGAATGTGTGAGGTCTGGTCAGGATGCTCACAGAATCAAAATTAGAAGCGCTTCCTTGGTCAAGTGCTCTTGCATCTACAAGCAGTTTGTCTTGGTAGATTTAGTGCATACATAAATGGTCAATACAGAATACAAACAGTAAATAGATCATGCAAATAAATGTAAAGCACAGCCACAAGGGCATCACATGTACATATCCACAAGATGTAAACTAAACATTGTCTGTGAGCTCACAATAAAGTGACCTTATGATTGGTTTGAGGGCTCATTTGCACATTGCAGTCTTTTATGCTGCCAGTATTGCAAAGGCCAAGACTGTGCTAATGATTAACAAATGATTCATTGTGCAGGGGAGTGGGGCTCAGACTACAGACAGTGGAAAGAGTGTGAATAGGCTGCATTAGTGTGGACAGGCAGTTGTAGTGAAGTAAAACATCCCAAATAGGTGGGAAAGGATTGAAGATAAACACAAAGATCGAAGATAAAGGCACATTGGAGAGACTGGAAAATGCGCAAAAGCCCAAGCGCAAAAAACAAGAGTGAGAGAGAGAGTGAGAGTAAGAGAGAAGATGGTGAAAGCCTGGAAAATGATTTAAGAGTGAACAGCAGCAGCAGAGTAATGCGGCTGCGAGAGGCAGCAGTTGGATAAGCAGTAATTACATTGTTTATCGCTGCAATCCAGGTCCGGCTCCAAGGATTAACAGGAAATGTCCAATTCGACCACTACGGACGCAGAGTCAACTACACCATGGATGTGTTTGAGCTGAAAAACAACGGCCCCAGAAGAGTAAGATCACTGTCATGTCTTTATATCATCTGCATCATCCCAGATTTCCATTTTTAAGGAATAAATTACATCATAAATATTAAAATAAGTCACTTTACTGTTCTCACCCTAAAGTAAGTGTGACTATACCAATAGAGAAAACATACATCTGCCCTCATTTTGATGTTTGTCTTTGGCTGTGCCAAAGTGTTGTTATGCTTTGTCTTTAGTCTGTCTGCTTACATCTGCTGAGTGTTGTTCACAGTCTTATTCACTCTCTTTTCTCTGTGTGTTTAATGCTCCATGGTTTGTTTGATGCAGCTGCTTCAGCAAGAACAATACCGATCAGCCTCATATTTGTTTTCATCTGCGTTTTCATCTGGATTGCCTCCGATGCTGCTTCAGGGTTTCTGTGTCTGGTGTACTTGAGGATATGGATCTTTTTCCACGCTGAAGCGTTTTATAGAAGCTTTAGCTTTTTAGTGACTCATTAAAATGCTTTAAAGAACATAAAGTATAATTTATACAAAGTGAATACTAAAATGAGTGACTAACCTCCAACATACCAGTTTAAATGGCATGTGTCCCCCTCTTGCAATAAAGCTGGCTCTTAGTGAATAACAGGGCTATGGCAAATAATAAAGAATTTCTCAGCACATGCCACATGATTGCTTGCACGAATTAGGAACCTATTTTTGATATGATCAGAATAATTTAAAAAACCACCATATCTACAGTTGTATGCAAAGTTTAAACATCCCTGGTCAAATGATATGTTTTGTTGATTTTCTAAGTAAAAATATGTTAACACATCATGTACAGAGAATATATTTCAATATTTTTCAGCAAATTTTAGTGCAAAATTTATATTTATTTGCTAAGTTATTGGGAAATAATGTAAAATATTGGGAAAAAATGTAAAATATAAAATGTGCCATAAATTTTGCACAGGCCACATTTGATGCTTTATTTTTTCCCCTAATATGTTAAAATCATCAAATACACAGCAAATCAGCAGAAGTCTGTTTTCTGTAGGGGATGTTTTAACTTATTTTCACTTAAAAAAGCAACATTATTATTTAAATGTATGCATAGGACTGTATCATGTACATTTTTTCCAGATAAGTGACAAGATGTCAAAAAATTAACACTGTTTGGGGTGCACAACTCTGATCACTTAACAGTTTGATCAGATTGTGTTTTAGAAACTATTCAGTGCATTCAGTCTCAACCTCATAATATTCTATGCATTCATTTGTTCAAATTAATCAGATTTCAATAATGAGTGCATAGAATATTATTATAATTTATTTTAATCAATGCAAAATCAATGCAGTTGAGTCATTGCCTTCAGATGCATTTTCACATTACTGTTATTGTCAATAAAATAGTTCACAGTTCTACATGCATGGCAGTCTGTAGACAAGTTTGTGTAAGATATAATTGTCAGCTAACTGTCTGAGGTGCAAACCCATAGATTTAAGGGTTAGGATCAGAAGTCACTAAGTGCTATAAAGGCTGCTGTCACACATGTCTCCTCTAAAGTCGTGTGGAGGCCCTGTGCGGTGCTTTATGGAGTGTGGCGGCTGCTGGCTGCTGTGGAGCAGTGTGCCTGGGGAAGAGTGATAGAGGGAGGCTGGCAGGGAGGTGGGGAGCAGTGAAGGCTGGCTTCCTTTGGGGAGCATCAATCAGGCAGACTGAGAGGCTGCTGCAGGCGGAGGCTGAGAGGCTGCTGCAGGCTGAAAGGCTGACAGGCAGATAGACTGAGAGATTGACAGGATGAGATACTGAGAGGCTGAATGAGTGAAAGACTGAGAGGCTTCTGCAGATATAGTCTGAGGGGCTAAGAGACTGAGGGGCTGGGAGCCTGAAAGGCTAAGAGGATGGGAGAGTGAGTTTGGCTAAGAGGCTGAGAGACAAAGGCAGTGAAAGGTTGAGAAGCTGAAAGAGTGAGAGACTGAAATGCCATGAGACTGAGAGACTGAAAGGCAGAGCAGTTAAGAGACTGAGACTAAAAGACTGAGAGGCTGAAAAAATAAAAGGCTGACAGAATGACAGGCTGCAAGACTGAAGGCCGTGAGGCTGAGTGACTGAGACTGGGAGACTGAAAGAATGAAAGGCTGAGTGACTGAGACTGGGAGACTGAAAGAATGAGAGGCTGAGAAACTTAAGGGCTGAAATGGTGACAGACTGAAAGATTGAGAGAGTGAACGGCTGACAGGCTGAAAGGCTAAGAGACAAAGGCTGACAGGCTGAAAGGCTGAAAAACTGAAAGGCTGAGAGACTGAAAGACTGACAGGCAGAAAGGCTGAGAGACTAAAAAGCAGATAGACTGAAAGGCTGAGAGACTGAAAAGCAGAGAGACTGAAAGGCTGAGAGACTGGAAAGCCTGAGAGGCTGAGAGACTGAAAAGAGGAGAGACTGAGAGGCTGAGAAACTGAAAGGCTGAAAGACTGAAAGATGGAGTGACTGAGAGACAGAAAGGTTCAGAGACTGAGAGACTGCTGCAGGCGCAGGCAGGGCAGCCTGGCATCCTTCACCTTGCTGCCTCCCAGAGGGACAGGGAGCTGCACCCACCCCCTCCACTCCTCAATCATCCTCCACTCAGCATAATGTAATACACGGCGACATTTCCTCCACCACACTTGCTCGGACCCACTCCCTCTGAAGTGGCTTCACGCTTCTCACACAGCATCTCAATCACACAGCAACGGAGAGGAGCTGCGTTAACACACACACATACACACACACACTCACACATGCCACATGCTTTTTAACATAGTCTCAGATATGCACACAAATGTATATAGACGCACTGAATAAACACCATTCATTACTATGAATACACATACATATATACAAATATACAGGCACATGTAAGTTTGCAATTGCTTGTCATTAAGAGAAACTGGAAAATGGTCATTGAAAATTAATTATGACTGTTTTTGGCTCATAAAACGTGGAAAGAAAGAAATAAAGTATTGTAGGATATGGGCCCTTATAAAACATTATAAACTTAGAATTAAAATGTTTTTGGTTCTATGCTTACACTTAATAAATGACAAATCATTCTAATTGTAAATTGATAGCAATTTTTGTTATCTGCCTTGATTGAAATTTATTTTCTTCAAACAACGTTTTTATGAACTTGTAATGGAATCATCTACAGCTCCGTTCATCATTCCGTTTGTTATTCAGTTATCATTTTTTACAGCTTCTGAGCTTTTTGCTACTATTTGCATAGGACTAGTGTATTAGACTAATTTTATACAGTTATCTGGAACAAGGTTTTAGAGGCTTTACATTGTTTCCAAACTCTGAACAGCAGCATTTACGCACACATACACACTTTTAGACTACTTTCTAACTGCTTTCTAACCTCCTAACCGTGTGTCCCACCTTTAGATTGGCTATTGGAATGATGCTGATAAGTTGGTTCTGATCCAGGATCAAGCCTTGCTTCCAAACGAAACCTCTGGCATGGAGAACAGAACTGTAGTTGTGACAACCATCATGGTGAGTGTCTAGAATGTTTTCTCACTTTTCAGACGAATGATATTCACAGTAATAGCACACAGGAACAGTTGTCAGGCTAAAAAAAAACCTGTTATGTTTGTCTCTCATCCAAATGCTTCCACCTAATGAGGTGTCGCACTCATTAGAATTAAAATTTACATTGAAGATTTGGAAATGGCCACCAGTGGGCTGCCTCATGCCTAAACACTTGCGCTTGCGTTTTGATAAGCGATGTGTGCAGTGTGTCACAGACTGGACTGCAAAGTTTATTTAAAGCATGATCCTGCTGTGTTGTTGCTCACCAAAGTGAAGTTTCTGTATGTGTGTGTGATCTGTCAGCCATATCAGTGTCCAGACAGAGATGGGAACTCGATTCAGCGGCTCGAACTCGCACATGACTGACTTGCAATACGACTCAGACTAAAATAAAGATTTCAGGCTAAGAAAAAACACTCACAAAACTAATTCAATTAGTGCGGAAAATGAATAAAACCTTGTAGTTACCTCTTTGCCGAGCGTATGAATCTGATGATTGTGAGCTCACTGAAAGAGCGTTCGTGCAAAACTTGGTGAATGACGTGTCCTCCGAGGATGTAAGTGAGTTATCTACTACTGTGATCAGTATAACTTGATTTTGCATTTGAGACCTCAACATCAAGACAGATCTATTCTATCTGATGCTGTGCGTGATGTTAATACATAAAGATGTGTGACATGATGCGAAAAACTCCCGAGAAATCTGCCTCTGACTATATTTAAATCTTTCAGGCTTTATAGGGTGACTTGTAGCAGCGCACTCATATTTTTAACACTCATATTATAGAGGTTTTTTAGTGTGTTTTCTATACTCAGTAATGCAACTCATTTTAATTTCAACAACAAAAACATACATAGTGTAGCTTTAAGACTTGAGATTCGACTGAGATTCAGACCCCAGACACTCAAAACTGGATTCGGACTCAGACCCTAGAGGCTTGCAGGCAGGGGCATAGCCAGAACATTAACAATGGGGTGGCCAGAAACGACCCAGTATGTTTAGTGTGGTGAAAAATGATTTGCAACAATGCAAAAAACAAAATTAAACAGTAGTAAATAACATTCTTCTGTGCTTTTATAGACCTATGATAATTGAAATACCTTTTTTATTAACTAATCACAATTTTTTAAAACTGATTTTGCAAAAAACATTGTTAGTTTTTGGTCCATCATTTCTACTGCTGAGTGCTGTGTCACTGGTTAAAATCACTGGTTGTCATTGGTTAAAATCAAAGCACAATGTATATCAAACCTTACTATATTAATGTAGAAATTTATTTAGGTGCCTGTTACGGCTAATGTGGAAGTCAAATGTTAGCTGGTTTCTTAAGCAAAAAGGCTAACGTTAAGGTTTTGACCAATGTTCACTTGTTTGTTTTCTCAGCAAAGTAGCCTATCAGAGCAATGACCAGATGCTTATTAAGCAGTATCATCTGACTCTTATAACCTATTGGTAACTGTAAAGTATAAACATTCACACAGAATAGGTAGGACATTATTTCTCTGGTGACTGCTTTATTGATGATGGTTGACTGTCTCACTTTGCATAACTGAAGGGTGACCATATATCATGCTAGGCGGCACTGGCCACCTCTGGCCACCCCATGGCTACACCCCTCGCAGGACAGCAACTTGCGAACATCTCTCATGTTCAGACAGATTGCCAGAGTTTACGATTGCATTTGCTGTATAACAGTTTTCAACATTGCTGCTGCAGGAATGAACATATCTGTGTCATCTGCCTTCTGTCCTATATTGTATGTCAGAAGGTCTCGTGGTTGCCTTTCATGGTGCCAAGGACATTGTGTTTTGGTTTGTTTTCCTCTGTTCTGTCTCCTGTAATTGTTGTGTTTTTAAAACGTATTAATTTAATAGGGATAAACAGACAGAACACTGCATGAAATGGCTCACACTGTAGCTCCAGCAGCACTGTGCAGTGTTCTTAGGTTATTGAATAAAGGGCATTTAACCAGTCAATGTTGAAGAATATTATTAGTGCCTAAAAGAAAAGGTGTGGATGTTGGTGGAGAAAGGGAATGGGAGAGTTACACCTGAAGCCAATGCTCCTCTTTTCAGCCCCTGTTGAGGAATCCTCTTTTAAGAAACTGAGCAGCAGACGGACTCTACCCAGCTGAAATGAAGCCCCTTATTAAAGCACGGACAGACACAGGCCGATTCGGAACCGAAAAGCAATAACATTGAGCCATGGACAGACACTTCCCAAGCCAAAATGAACTCCGTGATGAGAAACTGAGCCATGGACAAACAGACGCAAAGACAAAGCCAAGCCCTCATTAAGCAGCTGAACTATGGACGGACTCTGCAAGCACCATAATGAGTTATGCATTAGGATTGGATAAATCCACAGGAGTTTTCATTTAGGAGTAAACAAATAGGTTGAATGGAAATGCATTGTACATGCATAATGAGATCTGCTCTCATAGCATGGAAAGTGTGGGCTGGTTGTAAATTGTCATTCATGTTGCCAGTTTATTTACACCTTGTGCACATCTTGTATCTATACTCATAAGCCATTTTATCAGAAACACCTAACATATTGGTACACTTTGAAGCCCCCCACCTCACCCATCAATGGAAAAAGGCCACAATAGAACCTAACTGAGCAGATATTACTTGTGTCGTGGACCATTCTCTCAGTTCTCTCAGTGCTGCACTGGTGTGTGTATGTGATGTTGATATCACTACTGTGGTAAGAATAGTCCACCCCCCAACATTAAATCTGATCAGAGGTCGCCACATGGTGATCCCTTTCTATTGATTAGCAGGGCTGACAAAATGTGCTTAGCAACAGACATATAGTAATTGCCTTCCCACTACAGATGGCACCAATCCAATACTAGGTATCAGTATCAGCAGAAAATGCTGGATCAGAGATCGGAGGGAAAAAAGAATGAATCTGAATGTAGTTTATTTAAGGATTTTCTATTTTTGAGACTCTTACTTTCACTCCACTACATTTTACAGTAAAAATCCTGTTTTTCACTCCACCACTGTGAAGTGATATGATGCTCTTTCACAGATAAAAAACTAAACTGGAAGTGCACCTTCCACTAAATCCCTCTCCCAAAAACTGACTGTCCAACCATTGTTTGCATCTGTAACTAGGCCAGGGCGCTTCTGACAAGCTTTAGAAGCAAAGAAAATGCCATAACGATGTACTGGTATTTTTAAATCTGCCAGGCGTTTAGATGGTGAGTGAAATTTTGTCCGTTTCCTAAACTGAAGACACAAGAAATGGTGGATTGTAAGAATATCTTAGTTTAATTTTGATGCTACATTTTAAAGCAAATACTTTAAATACTATATACTGTAAAATTAAAGTAGAAGTAAAGCAGGTATACTTTTACTTGAGTAAGATTTTACCATGGGTATCTCTACTTTTACTCAAGTACTGGATTTGTGTGAACAAATCTAGCCTGAAATTACATTATGTGGTGATGATACTGAAAAGTTTCAACATCGGTACTGGAAAAGAAACAGTGCTATTGTGCTAGCTCTGAAACAAATGTGTTCTCTGTCGACGATGTGTTAAATTATTTGAACTCAGAAAGTCAACAAAACATGTCATTTGACCCGGGGCATCCAAACCTTTGCATACAACTGTAGATGGTATATGATGTCCCTGATGAAATGGCCATTGATTGTAGATACAAGCCAGGGGTACCCAATAAAATTTCAACTCGGTGTTCATTCATTAGGAATTGTTCAGATTGTGTTGAAATTCACTGGGAGTTTTTATTATTCTCTAATGCTTGCTTGGTATTTCTCTGTGGCAGCTTTTAAGGTTAGAGCTTATGTGTGCGCGAGTGCTTTTGTGTGGTCCTTCCTGAGCTGTAATTTTGCATGATTGAGTATCCTCCACTAAAGCATGTCTTAGGGCTGCAGATAACCCACAGCGGTAGCACAGTGTACCGCACATGATAAATTGTCTGCCTTTTTTTATGCTTGTAGATTAACACGATCCAAGAATAATAGTGCATTGCTCTTGTACAAATGTATAGATATGAGGAGAAAGCTGCATTCTCATACATCAAACAAATTCAAGATGAAACGAATCCTCAGTTGGCATTCAATGAAGAGCTCTCGATTGGCTGAGGGTGAATACTTGATTCGTCCTGCTGGGCTTTATGCCTTTCATGGTTCCAGGCTAGCCATATGGCTTAGGAAACATCTCTGAGAAGAGAGGCAGGTTTTGTGGGATCTTTATGGAAATGCACTTTCCTCTCTTGGCAAAGATAAGGGTTTTTACGTTATTGGACAAATGTACTAGATTTATGTTTGTTATTACCTTGGGATTATAGTAATGTATAGTAGTGCCATTGTTTTTGCTTTTGTCTTTTTCTTGTATTTCTCCAATGTTTTGTTTATTTCTTCATATTTAGTTTATTTGTGTTTTTACTGAAGATATTAACACCATCATTTCTGTGTTCTGTGATTAAATAAGCAGTGGAAGTCATGTATTTCAGAGTTAGTGAAGTAGTGCAGTGCTGAATACCCAAACCTTAAAGTTTAGCTTAGACGTGTACATTCCAGTGAGCTTTGCTTTGATCGATTTAAAAAATGTTATATTGTGCTTTGTATTGATATTATTGAATTATTTGCACACACACCAACACACACACATACAGTATTGTGCAAAAGTCAGAGACCACCATTTCATTAATTTAATTTTCAGACAAAACAGCCATTAAGTACAAGTTATTCATTTTTCAGCATCAGATGAAACACAGAAAACATACAGAAAACAGAAAATGACGCAGAAGCCTCAATAATTAGATTTTATATCATTTTTTAGTGTGTTTTTTGAATATTTAGTGTGTCCATACTTTGTCTTTATTACAGCTTTCATTCTTTTCAAAAGACTTGCTTTTAGTTTTTCAAAGTTCACACATCTAAATTTCAGTCTTAGAAGATGGTTGCATTTACTGCTTCTCGTGTTTCAGTGTTCAAGTGCAGATATTCTTTTGTTTTTTTCTTCTTCACATTAATGTTTTCTTGACAGCTACCTATCCTTTCAGACTCCTAATGTTGAGTTGTCTTCTCACAGTGGATGGATGGACAGAAACACCTGTGGAGTTTTCAGATCTGAAGCAAGAGTGGAGCCTAATTTTCTCTTGTCTCTCAAAGATAAAAGCTAAAAGTTCTGTTTATATGATGATGACAATTTTGATCATCTACTAGGTCTTGCATGGTTGTTAGGAGTCCCATTTTCTCTATATCTTTTAATGATTTAAGTCATTGAATTTTTTCACTCGTTTGCATTTGACTTTCCTCTACTTTATGCAAGTTAATTATCTTATCCTTAACATCCTCTGAAATATCTAGGAAAGAAATGTACAAGGCAGCTAAGGTGTGCTTGGGTAGTTGTTTCTGTGAATGTTTGTGACTTTTGAAGGGAAACAGGGGACTGTTCAGTGACTCCTTTGGGAACAGCTTTTGTTGGGTGGACACAGGTGTAATTTCTTGGTTTTAAGATTGGAAGGAAGGGAAAAGTGTCAGTCAGGTTCACACAAGTAAAGAGTGAACAAATTAAATATAAATAGATTTTATATTATACTTAATGTTGGAGACTTTGTGCAATTTTCTGTTAAATATGTAATTTCTGGTTTTTTTTTCTGACACTTCAAAATGAGTGGCTTGTACTTCGTGGCTGTTTTTACTGGAAATCAGGTCCACTACATAGTTGCGCAGTTACACACTGTAGACCTTCTGTTGTTATGCACAATTTATCAGCCATCTTCGGTCCCATTAATCACTAAGTTTCTGACCACAGGACTGCTGCTGTCCAGATTATTTTGCACTGAAGTGGTAGTATGTAGTGCTGGTATGAGCGTACCAGGCTCAGCATTGTTCCTGGGGTTTTTGTCAACAGGCAATGTACACAGATGTTTTGGGGTATGTTGGGGCTCAAGAAGGAAAAAACATGGCAACAGGAATGTAAATTAAACTTAATTTTATTGCATTTTGCAAGCACCCATATTAAGAGAGACAGTATAATCATGTTTCAGAGGAAACCAAACCTAGTTTCAGGTGTTTTCCCAAGGCAGTTGTGTAAACCGAGCTGACCCTCAAGCTCTGTCCCTGGGGCAACGCTGAAACCGACCTCTCTGAAACAGAATTTTAAGAATGTCCATATAAAAGACAATTTTTATACATGCCAACCCAGAGGGCACTTGTACAGTCTGAGGGCAAAAGGGCAGGGTCTCAAGCTCCCCTTGGGGTCTATCTGTGGTCCACCAACCAAAAATAGCTAGCCAAGAGAAGCTCTGTGGTCAGAAACTGACTATTGATGAAGGGCCAGAGTATCACTAACACAAATTGTGCATCTACAGTTGGGCTACAGTGGCTAATTCTAAGGTTTCTAATAAAGTGGAATGGTAGTAAGTTAAATATATGTTGTCAACAGCACATTGTATTAGTGTGGATAATAACTGTAATGATGGTATTGACACCATGATCTTGTACATCGATTAGCCATTTGCTCAGTTGTGTGTATCGTCATTGATATTCTGTACTCATTTATTGTATGTTATGACCTTATTTATCTGTGGAATAAAGGAGCTTTTTATGTGATGTAATGTTTTGATTTGATGTAAATCTACATTTAATGAATATGCTACAGTACTGTTGGAGTTGTGATCATATGGTGTCAGGAGTAAGTGTGTAACTGCAAATCTACACTCTGTTACTACGAGTTAAATGTGTTTCTTCTCTTTGATCTGGGCATTTTATTTCACTGTTCTTGCAAACGCAATCCAAGCTATATTAAATATGAATCTTTCGTGTCTCTATGTGCACAGTCTTTTTTATGCTCGAATCCTGAGATGAAAGAGCTGCGTCAAATGTACCAAAATCAACAAATCGGGTGCTTGGTTGGGTTGGCTGGAGTTGTTGACTGGTTGCCAGTTTGAATCTCTTGTGTGGTTTGCTCCTTCCAGGAAGGACCTTATGTGATGCTGAAGAAAAACTGGGAGATGTACGAAGGTAATGACAGGTATGAGGGATACTGCGTGGATCTGGCCTATGAGATCGCCAAACACATTGGCATCAAATACAAGATCTCTATCGTGCCAGACGGAAAGTATGGAGCTCGGGACCCGGAGACCAAGATCTGGAACGGCATGGTTGGGGAGCTGGTGTACGGGGTAAGAGATTTTTCAAACCTTCAGTTCTGTCAGAACAATTCTCTGTACATTTCTGCAGATAACACTGCATGACTTAGATAAAAATGTCACTGATACCAGTACAGATTGCAGCTGATAACTGATTTAGTAAAAGTGAGCAGATGCTGACTGCTGACTCAGTAGTCTCTTTAAAGACTGGTATAACCAGAATCAGAGTTTATTGGTCCAGTGTGTTTACTCATACAGAGAATTCGTCTTCTGTTACACAGTAGCTGACAACTAATGCTAATTTCATCTATGAATTCTAATGGTATTTTAGCACTAGCAGCTAATGCCAGAGCATGTGAACATTTGTGGATGTTCTAGACTAAACACAGACATCTTAAGCTTGTAAAAAGACATTCCATATATTTGTTTTGAAGCTTTCAATAGACAGATATGTTTACTTTGTATGTGGCAGTATGTAGTAATGTAGCAGTATGTAGTTACATGTTTTGTATGCAGCAGTCCTTCAGTAAAGAGCCTTAGAGCTGCCAATGCAATTCTCTGAAAATTATCTGACTGAAAGTGACAGATAGAACTTCCAGTGAGTGACAGATAGAACTTCCAGGAGGCCTAACATGTTTTTTTTTGCCAAATTGGTCCTTAAAAAATAAAAAAAATTTAAAAATTACTTGATTCCACTGTTACTTCCTAATTATGTTGCAGTTTATCTAACGTGAAGGCCTTCGGACCAGCCTTTGATGTAACCTAACCAATAGGAGAGCTAGCTTGGTTGTACCCACATAGGTAGCTCAGGGAAACAAATGATTTAGATGATTTTTTTTGAGGCGGTTCAAAATTTTAACTCATTTGTTTCCAGCCAAAACATTACAATGAAATAAGAGTATTACTGCAATTCTTTCAGATTTTATCAAACAACAAATATGATAATTCTATTAAATAAAATGAACTAAAAGCTGCATACATATTTTTTAGTTCCCAAAAAATATACTTTCCCTGAAGGCCTACAAGACCTCAGAAAATAGCGATTTTCTACACCTTAGAGGTGTGTGTTTGTTATAATGTGCTAATAAACAATATATTGGCTGCATTGGCAGGATTTTCACAATAAATCTGTGGAACTTAAATATCAGCTAACTGATATATCAATAGCCATAGTTCTACTGTATTTACTATTATGGGCAGAATAGATTACAAGGTTGACTAGGATGACCTGAAAATGTCTCTGTACTGGTGAAGACCATAAAAGCCTTGTTTAAGAAATGTTAGTTAAAGGTTTCTTTGATCACACTGAATGTTCTTAACATTCCTGAGATATGGTATTGATCTATGCTGTTACTAAGTCCTTAAGGGTCTAAATTGAAGGAACTAGATATGAAGAGTTGGCGGGTTCAGAAGGTTTAGGTCTATTTCTGTGTGCTGTGAATATTGCAAGTTCATACTTTGGGATAAAATATTCAGTTCAAGGGCAGGCACTGTCTGTGTAATTTGCTGTGAAAGGCCAAGTGCAAGACTCCAGCCTGTTCAGTAACTTCCCTCTTATAAGGAGTAAAACAGCTATGGGATGGACTTTCTGTGCAGAGGCTTTGGGAGAGACTTGGCGTGGATTTGAGCAGAAAGCGTCAGCAGTTTCGTTTCTAAACCTTCAGTTGTGACCATGCGCCCAGTGGGAGTGTGTGACAGTCCCTGCACCTCTGAAAAATAAACAACCTCTGGCAAGCTGATGTATATTAATGCATGTCCACCATACAGCCGGTCTTGTCATCTTGTAGATTTATGCTGAGCATGGGAAAACATGTATCCCTTCAAGTTTTTTTTTTCTTGTATTTTTCTCTACAAAGTGTCAGCCTATTATGATAAACTTTAATTTCTTTTTTGGATTAGTTTTGAGCCTTGCACAGCCCCGGCGAGGTCGAGAGTGTTGCTAAGTCACCAACAATAATCGAGTTTGTGGATTTACCATGAAGCAATACATTGCTCCTAGACCTTAGCGTCTGTATCCAATTTTTCTGTCTTGTGCTGTAAGCATATTTCTCTGAATTGATTGGTTCATCCTGCTCCCTCAAACTTCAGCTGCGGAATTAAGCCCCTCGGATTAGCTTCTTAGTTTTTCCAGCATTAACATGCAAAGCCTTGTCCAATTAGAGAAATTGTAAAATATGATGTGAAAGGAGAGGTGGAAATGGACGGATTATTCTTTATTTCCCTCTGCTTCACTGTGTATTGTTCAACAGTGTGAGATGCTGTGCATTTTGTCATGTTAAGTCATAAAGTTCTAACCGTGTCATTGTTATCTGCTTAAATGAGGGCATTAACCGCTCCACTCAGTAGCACTGGCTACTGAGCATGACTTCCTGTTTGTGTGTGATAGTAAAACATCAGTTCTATTCTCTGGCAATGGCCTAATGAAACACCCTTTGATTTCAGAAAGCGGAAATCGCTGTGGCCCCATTGACTATCACCCTGGTCCGGGAGGAGGTCATTGACTTCTCAAAGCCCTTCATGAGCTTGGGCATCTCCATCATGATCAAGAAGCCTCAAAAGTCCAAGCCGGGCGTGTTCTCCTTCCTGGACCCGCTGGCCTACGAGATCTGGATGTGCATCGTGTTCGCCTACATCGGCGTGAGCGTGGTGCTCTTCCTGGTCAGCCGCTTCAGCCCGTATGAGTGGCACACCGAGGAGCCCGAGGAGGGCACCGACGGTCCGCCCAGTGACCAGCCCCCCAACGAGTTCGGGATCTTCAACAGTCTCTGGTTCTCCCTAGGAGCCTTCATGCAGCAGGGCTGCGACATTTCACCCAGGTAATCAAGCTTCTAGTTAACAATTGAAACTTTTGATATCGTTATATGGGCCCACGCTTCAGTTCCTCACTCTTATATCTACTTTTATATTAATTAGATAGTAATTACTTCATAATAAGATTAACAATGTTATGCACAGAGTTAACGTGCTATCACTGGCGATAACATTTTATGTTAATTTGATATGAATTTCTCACTCTTCTTTCAAAAGTGTGGATTCTAAACTTGCAGTTGATACTACACTTGTGTTTATAAGTAGAAGAGAAGATATTTTATTATCATTTGAATTTGATGAAAAATTATTGCTGTCAGTCATTTTGCATAAGGAAGAATTAACCTTTACATTTTTGCCACATTTTTTTTTACATTTTTTGACAATGACTCAGACCTGTCAACAAGGAATTTAAATGTAATGCAAATGTAAATACATATGTAATTAAATGCAATGTAATTAAACATATTTTTGTTTAATTACTTTTCAGTAGTTTAACGACAGTAAAATCTCTTGACTTCTACCATCTCTGATATCTAACATAAGCCGTCCACATCCTAAGGTTTATAATTCAGTACCTACATAGAAAACAATTGACTGAAAATAATTGAGTTATTATTAAGTTATAGAAGTGAGTAATAGAAGTCTGGACCAGGTCCATGAATGTTAAGGAGTTAAAGCACTCACCTCTGCACTTTCAATTGCCCCAAGGGCAGCTTATTTAGGGGAATACTGATTGGAGAAAGAAGTGGAATTAAGTCTCTTAACCTGGGGTTACCTCATGAAAAGGTCCTCCGGGTATTGATATGGTAATACCAGACAACCTGAAATGGACATGTGGCTCTGTAGTTACCATGGCGATGTACCAAGGAGCGTCAGAACTTGACTGGAAAAGTGCATGCAATTTGCACAGAGTGGAAAGAGGGCCGAGGGATTCATAATGAAAATCAGTATTCTGCGGAGGGCTAACCTTAATGTAAATTGCTTTACCGTTGTATTGTGTGTGCTTTCCTGCTGGGGAAGGAGCTGTCATTCTGCACCATATGTGTCTCTCCCTTATCAGGAAGAAATGACACAGTCATATCCCATTGCTGCGCAGCTGTGCTCGGTCGCTATGTGTTTTAGCGTGTCTCTGCGCTTATCAAATGCAACGTCGTTGTCTCAGTCTGTCAGCTAAACGACGTGTCTCACCTGCGCCGTCGTGCTTTAGGAAGTAACTGGGGTGTCATTGTTGGTCTTCATTGCTTTTTGATGAATTTCACTCTCTCGGCAGGCCCAGCAGGAATTTTATCGGTAAACAATCATCAGGGGGTCATTGCCCGTTTCTGTGCACTCGCATGTCCATTCGTCCTATAGAGAAATTCTTGAATTCTGCAGGAAACATGCTCATTATTCAGCTGCAGTTGGTTGTTTTGTGTTATTTGTTTCTGGTCATTTCCCTCGCCTGCTGGGCTGACCTTAGTCTTTCTGTGGCTATCTGTGCTGCCAGCTTTCTCTGTCTTTCTTGCTCTTTCTTTCTCTTTCTTTCTCTCTACCTTATAACACCTGCATGACCATGATAGAGTTTTTTAAGACCTGTTATCAAAAGCAGAGAGCAAAAAAAAGACTCTATTTTTCAGCACCCCCAGCGCCAGATAAGAAATCACTCACATGACAGGACAAGGGGAACAAAGGAGCAATAAAAAGAGCGACATGTGGCAGAAGACAGCAGGTACTTAGAGTGCCATCAGAACCATAGAGTTCAGCCACTCTGCACTATAGCCTGCTCCCTGCAGTGCTATAGTGGACCTATGGTTCTGATCTAGCATAAGAAAACTCATTTAGGATTCCATCTAGGACTGTAAGAAGCCCATGCCTTTCATCAGCCTAATATAGCCTTAATAAGGATGCATGGAGTGAATAGGGAGACAGTGCTGAATGTGCATTTAATGAGTATTCAGTACAGGCAGTACAAGCACAGGGAAAAAATGAACTGCACTACCATTTTACAAACTGTTAATTTCTCCAGTCACTATGTGCCATCCTTTCAGCGTTAATATATGTTGTTTTGCGCAAAGCTGATGCATTAACAATACGACATATGGTGAGGCATTGTGCTGGACTGAATGTAAGCCAGTAGCATATTGATAATTCTGAGCCGTAATCCTCTTGATAGTTATGTGCATGTTTTAAGAGTGCAGAATTCTTAAGGGGAGATTTATCTTTGCTCTCATGCTGTGCACATTTAAATTATTTATCATCATTGGATAGAGAACACGAAATGTAATTATGCTTGCTCCAGATTGGTTCATGAACTTGTATCTTATTTCATTTCAAGCAATTTAGATGTTAAACTTAAGTCCATTCCATCTTATATTAATCATTTCCCTCCCTAGCTCTCTTGTTCTTTCACCCGTGCTGCATGGTGATAGTTACAAAGCAAGATGAATGACGGTAGCATGTGAACGACGTGCTATGAAAATGTTGAGAGCAGCGTCTGTGATGGCTTTGGACAGGGTCATAACTCTTCTGTGGATCCCTGTGGTGTTTTTTTTTGGCTCAGTTGTCTGACAAGTGTCATTAGCAGGCAGGTAGTATAGCTAGCTTCCTGGGTCTTGGAACAACTAGCATCTGGCAGGAGCGCCATTTGGCTCGTCGAGGAGCAGTAATGTACATGGGCAGTAGACGTTATCAGACACACAGATTATAAACCAATTTTCACATTGCTAATACATATGTAATCCAGTGGAATAGGTCTAAAATTACAGCAAAAGATGGTGCATTGAGGTTTGCTAATGCCAGGGCCAACGCATGCCACTGTGCCACTCTGAGCAAAGTATAATTTTGCTGCCCCTGCAGATTTGCAATATCACAACCAATAGACAACACAGAACAAACCAATGCCCCATTGGTGACAATAGGCTAAATATATGTATACAAATGCCAGGAGTGGGAAACTGAGGGGAGGAGTCCAGCAGCATTTGGTGATTTCCCTGCTCTAGCACTCTGACTAAACCTGGTAATTAGCTGTTGAATGAGGTGTGTTTGAGTAGGAAAATCACCAAACTGTGCAGGAATTCGGCCCTCAGTTCCCCACCCCTGATGTAAGCAATACATAGTGAGCAGCCTGGTTCCAAATACAGTTCATACTAAAGCATGCTGCATTTACATTAAACCAAAGTGAGGCGATTGTGGGAGCAGCACAAAGCATGTGGAGAGAGCTATAAAAACTTTTTATTTTTGAGAAAAACAAAAACTTTATGCAAATGAGAAGAGCGTTTTGCAGGGCAGCAGCAAATCAGATGGATGAAGTGTGCAATGGTACGCTACACCTTGCATTATGCCCACTTTCAAACTACACACTGAATTGAGTGTTTATGGAAGATAGAGGAGCAGGAGACTTTTAATTAATTCACATTTTAAAACAAGGATATTGGACTTTTTCTCACTTGTCTTTCATCGAAGCACAGTACTAGTCTGGAACTTTGCCTGAACAGCTAGATTTGCATTTTAGCAACAGGCCACAAGGCATCCAACAGTCAACAAGGTAGGATTTTTGCCTCAATGACATTAGCCAAACAAACCCTGTGAAAATTCTCTCACCAATTACCTGAACTGACCCTTCACTATGTTTGAGGGCCAGCCCATACATAACATGATCTCTCAACAGCTCACTGGGGCTACAAGAATGGAAAGGTGGCACCTAAGGCCTACAAATTTAGTCAAAAAATATTAGCTAAGATATGTAAGTGTGATTATGCCATCACAGCCTAGCAAGCTGATTTAACCAAATACCAGATGTGTTACGTTTTTTTTTTCATGAGTTTAATTGGTAATGCAGTGTTTCACACTTTTCCTCTTGTGTCTTCAGCTTAGGATATGTGTAAAAAGTGTCCCTGCCCTCTCCAAACTCATGACATATTATGTATCCAATAGGCCCTTTTCACATTTCCATGTTTTTCCGCTGAAAGTACTCGTTGCAGGGTAATGCACTTCATCTAAAACAACAGCAGTAGCAGCAATGTCCAAGTAGAGCTTGTACAGCTTACCCAAGTGTTCAAGCTCAAAGCAAGATCAACCTTAACTCAGTTTCAGTGGCTCCTCAGCTGACAATTAGCAGAGGAAAAATGGCTTTGTGCAATTAGGAAGGACAAAGGAGGTTGTTATACGGAGGGCAGGTACCTTTGTGTCAGCATTTTACTGCTGCTGACCAACGTTACACTGAGGGTAGTTTGCATTTTATAGTCAGTGCTATTCCCAGCCAATTTCAGTGGAACAGTTTTCATGTTTCCCCTCAAAAACGGTCGGCATTTGACAGAGCAAGTGCTCAGCAGCGAGTAGATATTCGCTCACTGGAGCTGTTGGTTGTAGAAAACATCTACAGTGGCTTTACGGAACATGACAACGTGCCATGTCCCTCTGCCGGTATTTGCATGTTTATCTTTTTGCCAACTACACGTCAGCTGACGTAATTGTACCCTGATAGCTGTAAAGCAATTCTTCCGCAGAGAAATTATATTCTTTATTGAACTTGGACTCATGCATTGTTGTGTGTTTGGTGTCCTCCAACAGTTCTGGACACTCTCTTGAATGTCAATCTTAGAAGGGAAATATAAATTGACACACCTTTCCATGGTGAGCTGAAGTGATGCGAACAACAGTATTTCTGAATTTAATAGTTGTACATAAGGCAATAACAGAATAAGTTTTATCCAATGTTTACATACATCCGTTTATTGTAAAAAGGGCGTGTTCCCTACATGGGAAGCTGCAGCAAAGTGTAAAGTTCTGAGAGCCTGCCTGTGCATACCTAGTTATAGTTATTAAGCTATAAATGGCTGATTTTAGCATTGACTATAGCGAAGGAGGGGCAGCCAGAGCAACGACTGCCCGTTGATGCAATCAGTTCCTCATAGGTGACAGAATAATACGGTGTATTCTGCCTCCCTTGCTCAGGTGCCAATGTAGGCGATGGCCTAGTTTGCCTATATGGACATACTAGTCTGGATAATGCTGGTGCTCGGGCTGG